CCCCAAAACCCCAAAACCCCAAAACCCCAAAACCCCGTTTTAAAGGGAGTTTGTTGATTTTAATTTTTGAAAGAAAATGAAATTTGGGAGAATATTGTTGCGTGACTTAGGAGTTTGAAGATTTAGATTGAGTAATTGAAGACAGGTTCGTATGAGTAGAAGATTGGATGTTATAATTTTATGGCATTTCAAAACTACCTTTTATGGAGAGATTAATAGCTTAGAGATATGTTTGGGGTAGTGAATTTTAGCTTCTATTAAAATATGATACTATTAATGAAACATCATCAATTGTTCCACCATCATTTAGTCAACTGTCTTTCACTTTAGTCCAGATTGGATCAACAGATCCATTTTCCTGGTAGCTAGTGGCCAGTTCAGCTACTTCTTCTGCGCTCAATAAATCCCAGAGACCTCCAGAACCATGAACCAGGAACAAATCGCTTCCTGTATTGTACTCTATGATATCAGGAGTGCTGACTACCCCTATTTCATGAGCAAGGGCATCCCCCAGAGATCTACTGATACTTAGTCCAGGGTACATTCTAGCTCTCACATAGATCCTCCTCTTTTTATCAACAGCAGACTCTCTTACCTCTCCTGAAGAATTATAAATCCTGATTTTCTCTTCCATGTTCTTTGGAGTATGATCCATTTCTGGAGGCATCAGCAAGATAGCTTTCTTGCCTTTCTGTTGGCCAATATTTGCTGTTCCACCACTCTTAAATCTCTTGCCTCTACATCCAACACAAGCATATGAATCTCCAACATAGGCCATGATGATTCTTCTGTTGATATGAAAAGCCAGTGTTCAAGTGGATCCACTCAGAGACAAATCTCCATGCTGGAAGGGATTCTCTTCATGATGGAAAAGATTTGAATCTTTAATGAAATTGCCTGTTCTGATATCCTTGTCTGAGCTCTTGTCACTCTTCATCGATGATGACTCTTTAAAGTTTACATGGTGTTCTTTGGGAACTTTTTCCTCTTCAGATTCTTCTGATATCTTCCTTATCATATCGTTATCATTTTGTGTTCCAGAAATAGACTCATCATCTTCAAATCCTTCAGGGAAGTTATTTGGCTTCCAGTTCATCCTGGATATCCAAAAAGATATTGATGAGCTCTCTCTTAATATCTTCGAATCTTTCAGGAGTGTTGATCATCTCAGGCTTCAGATAATCATTTTGAATAATATACTCAGTAAGGAATTTAGTTTGAACATATTTAGAAACTTTGTGTCCAAATGGACCATGTCCGTCAAACACCCCAAATACTTTGAGACAGCCTTGCTTGCTATCATTTATTAGGATGAACATATTGTCCTGGTTAATATTCTGGACCTGGCCTTTCTTGCTCAAGAACTCAACTCCGTATTCATTCTTGATAAACTTATTTGATCTTTTTGAACTCTTCTTTCTCCTTTTTCTTCAGCTCTAAGTCGCTGAAATCGACTTTTCCCTTATTGCGTTCTTGGTTGGGTGTTGAAATAATGAGGATTTCTTTGTTATTGAACTCTTCTGAGTCTTTCTTCTCTTCATCAAAGTTTTTATCGTCATTGAGCTTGTCCTCTTCCTTCTCATGTACAAGGACTGTGAATTGGTTGTCTTTGTAAATGGTGTAGCTCATCTGGGATGCATTTTCTGTCCACCTGTGGGTTCCTGAATTAGCAACTGAACCTGAAGCTAAGCTGTGGTTATGGTCACTCCTATTAGAGACTCCTCCACCCATTTTTAAATTAAATTTTGTAGCTATATTGGAGTTCAGAGTTGGGGTTTTGGGGTTTTGGGGTTTTGGGG